TACACCAATTTTCACTATCAATTTTCCCTTGTCTATTTTAACTTTCAGCCAAAGCCGCCACTAAAATCCAAGCCGTTTTTCGAGGACACAAAGTACGAAACACCATGAAGAAGAGCGAAACTAAACCAACACCCACCGCTAGCGCCATCGCTAATAGCAAAAATGCAGCAGCTTCGGCGGCAGCCGCAGCAGAAGCAGAAGCGGCGGAGCCAACCAAAGCTGAATTAGAGGCTGAATTCGATCCCAATGACAAAGGTAGGTGACATACTAGTAGCCAAGTATGAATGTATTGTATTCAGTTCAATGTATTGAGTAATGAAATAATTTGCGAATTAGATGGCAAACACAAAGTGTGATAGGAAAAGTTTGCAAGTTCGAGGCAAAACGTTGGCTAAAAGTTTGAAGACAGTATACACAAATATGTATGTATTTGAGAGACGAGCTTCAGAGGTTTTAACCACCCACATCGTGCAGAAGCAACTCATTTGACTACCGTTTTTTTTTTACATCAGCACAGCCGCGAGAGTACTCTACAATTCTGATGTTTATTGGAACGTGCAAGACTACGAGCGTTTCATGAAATCTCTGACAAACCTACGAGTATATAGTCTACCACATTCCCGTTGTTGCTCCATCCAAGTTTACCATTTATCCTAAAATTACATATATTCGTTAGTTATACCAAAGTATCGCGTCAACCACACCAGTCGTTTCTATTCCGTGCCAACTCACGCCAATTCGAAATGCCAAGTGAAGCCTGGTCTTTTCAACGTAGAAGAGGCATTCCTCTTCCTCTCTTAACAGCATCGCGATCCACGTTAAATATTTTCAGAACTGCAGCGTTTCTGTCCATTCGAACGACATGACCTAGCCATCGTAGCCGCTGAATTTTAGTTCGCTTCACTTCTGAGTTGCCTACTCAGTCCATCGGTGTTAATGCTGGCTCCCAAATAAACGAAGTCGTCTACTTTTTCAGTCTTTTAACTGTCAACAGTGACGTAGGTGCCAAAACTCTTATGTTCTAACTCTTTGTGTGATGGCAGGAGATACTTCGTTTTGTCCTCGTTTACCACCAGACCATTCGCTTTGCTTCTCTATCTAATTTCGAGAAGGCAGAGCCGACACAGTCCTTGTTTTTGCGGATAATGTCGATGTACTTGAATACATTGCTCAACTGGCAGGCCGTCAGTCCCAGCAGCTTTGTTATTTTTTAACCGCATAATCGCTATTCGTCATAGTCAGGCGGTGGTACATATCCTCCATCGTCATCGACAAGGGACTCGGGTTCGTCATATCCAGCACTGCCAGTGCTGCTGCCATTCAATAGGTTCGAGGTCCTGGAATTTTACAGTCAATATTTTTGGAAAGTAGGTTTGGTTCTCATGACAATGCTAGGGGGCGTAGGAGTCGATATATTTGAATAAAGGGTATTTATTGTTCGATTTGGTTCATTTTATAAAGTATATTACTTACACGAAAAGAAGTCACTCTAAAAATAAATTTGCCGATAGGTGTCGCGGGGTTCGATATTTTTCGAAACCGACATCTATGGTCCGATTTGGTTCATGTTCAGACTATATCGTCGCTGGAATAATGAAATAGTGTAACATGAAAAGTATAGTTTTGAGAAAAACGAATTGGAAGTTTTTATAAACCATTACAAACCATACAAATATAATTTCGTTTTTCGGGAATAAATTAGTGAGCCAAAGAGATATTTAAGAAAACTAAAGATTTTTCTAATAGATTAAAGGATTGTCTATCCAATGGTGCAATTATCGGATAATAGTGTATGTGGCATTTACATTGTTTCTTTATTCGAGCGACGATATGAGCAAATCTCACGAGTGTCTCCTCCTTGTCCCGCCAGAAGAGAAATGCTTCTGCTTGCATTTATTTCAATCAGTGCAGTTCCGAAAACAAGTAAAATAAAAAATTAATCAAGCATTTGAACAATTTTAGCCTAAAATACTTATTCAAGCCAAAAAGTACCGAAATTACTCATTTTTGTTGGTTACTCGAGAAAAATCACAATTGTTTTTTTTTTTAATTACTTTGGGAAGTTTTCAAATATAATATGCGTATTAGAGGCAATGGACGTTGACATCAAATACAACATATCTCTGAAGTTTCCAGAGTGTGTCACCAAGTTAAAATTAGGGCAGCATGCAGGATGTCCGCCGTAGCTATTTTGTAAATTTTGAAAATCTACGATTTTTTTTTTACGTTGTATATGCAACAACGGGTATATGAGCACTAGAGGTTATTTTTACTCTTTTTAGTATATCTTTTTTAAGTTTTCATTCAAATAGAATTTCGCGATGGAATCTTGTTCTTTATACAAATCTGAAGATAATGCATTTTCTAAGATAAGTGTGCCAGCACTTTTGACCAAAAACACGTTTTTGTCGAAAAATTTAACAACTCGTGAGATTTGCTCACATACATATGTAGGTACTACCATAATTGATAACAAAAATTTGTTTAGGTGGAACCTAGTAGAGGTGCTAGCGGCGCTACTGCCCAAAAGGTAGATTCCAAAGAGCCATGAGGCTTCTAATCTTGTCATGTCCTCAGATTATAATTCCATTTAATTCATTCATTGAATTCAAATGTTGAGTGACTGCTGCTGATGGATGAGCGAACAGAAGAAAGTCTATATAGTATATACATTAGGTTTCCCATCGAAAATGTTTTTTTTTGAAAATTTAAAGACCCTACCCCCTAATTTGATTAGTTTTTATGAGAAATATTATTGACTACTTTTATAGATTTTTTAAAGGCCATTTAGAGGTCGCGGCCTGTCGATTTAGGTCAGAAAATACGATTTTCTAGATTCATGACTTTTTGAATGCCTATTTTTGCTTGAATTCAAAGAATTTTTTAAATTTTGACCATCGATAATTTCCGCAATTTGAAAATATGTAGTACTAACGTACAAAAAAACGATTTCCGATGGGCACCCTAATATACATACATCTCTATGTACTCTACAAATCCGTATATACTTTTTCAATTTAAAGAAATAAAAAAATTTAAAGGTTAAGTTATTGGGGTAATTTATGTCGCTATCAATAAATTTTTGCAATAAGCTTATCAACCGTTATGTTAAATTACGGAGTTCTTACGATTTTTTGTGGGTTATATATTGAAAATAAGGTTGCCCTACTATTTTCCAAAAGTTTAACCCATCAACTCCCACCAGAACGGGCCTTTTTGACCCACTGTTTAAGAAAATGGCTTATAGATGGTTAAAATGTCCACTAAAATATTAAGCGACAAATTTTTCTAAGGAGAACAGAATATATTGCAAAATAATAGTAATCTTTACCAAAAAGTCGGACTTTAACTCTGTGTAGAAAATATTGCGATGCGCGAGAGCAAAACCTTCCTGGGGTTTGACCACTACTTAGGAATACTTACGTAATTTTCACACAGCCACCTAGTTTTTGTATACGTCTGTGGGACCCCAGAATAAAGCAACTTACGAATGTAAAAATTAGCAAAAAAAAAAGTGTTTGCTTTTTATTAAAATTCTGTGTAAAATATTTAAAAAACACACAGGAAAATTAACTAGTCTTTGTCTTATCTCCAATAATTGAGGAGTTAGATGCAATAAGGGCGCTTCTGTTAAAACTGCTTTCGGAGATATTCGCGTTAAAGTTTTTGATGTGTATAACTTTCTTGTTGATGTAGTATATAAAAAAGTAGTATTGTTGTAGTATTGCAAAAAATTTTCTACTGTGGAAAAATTCGTCATATTACCAGTATCCCTAATTAAATGTAATAAACGCTTTCGATTGAAAAACGTGTTACCTGTGTTTTTTTCTGAGTTACGCTTTTTTTTGGAATGTTCAGTGGCCCAAATTATGCAAAAAAAACTTCTTTTAAAAATGTGATTTTCATTTCGTAAAATGGTGTTTTTATACGAGTAGTATTTAGTTCCTTCAAACGATGTATTTCAATGTGCATACAACATGAACATTTTGTACAAAATTCCTTAGGCGCCGAACGCCGCCGCGCCGTTCTTTCGTAATGATAAAAACGGCGGCGGCGGTGGCGTGGCCCGGCGGCGGCGGTGGCGTGGCCCGGCGGCGTATACCTCTAGAACCTAGGTCGTTGAAAAGTTGTAACTAAAAGTTTTAAATAAAATAATGTAAATAAAATTATTCTAACTAACTGTATTTCGCATGCGTACTAAAATAAAGCTAAATTGCAAGTGTATTAATTTTCATTTTTCCTACATTATTTTATTAAAAAAGGGCTTAACAAGCACGTCATCAGCACGCAACATAATTTTAAATTGCTTCGCAACCAAAACAATACATGTTCAAAACTGCTAACATTGAAGATTAATTTGTAGCTTAACATTCCACAACAACAAACATTCATACAAACTTCTACGGGCAGGTATTTCGCACAGAAACCTGAAGTCGGCATTCGTACGAGTACCTCGCGGCGCAAAGAAATACCTTTGCCTTCAATCAAGCTTAATTTTTCTTGTAAATTGCATTAAACAGTAACTGCGTTAACAATTTCGCTTTACTGCTGCCGATGACGATTTCACTCTGCGTTTGCTAACTACATACAAGCAATTTGCAGGTTGCGTATCCGCCACAGCGCACTCTAACGCAATCACTTGGCTTTGTGTGCAAGCCCAACAATGGCTTTGCATGTACAACAAACAATATTGCACAGACAATTTAGCAGTACAAGTATTTCACATCCACCTTCTTTCTCCTCGAACCGTCATCAGCCACAGCGCACCTTTGTAGCTACTGTGTGTGACACGCAAAAAACTTTAACAACAGCTACGTACACAGTGGCTGCGAACAAAAGTTCAAAATTTTTTATGTTTTGTTTGTCACTTGTCAAGTGGGGCAAAAAATCTAAACAGCAAACAAGATTTTCAATTAGGAGTAATATTAATTTTCGTTTGGTCATTCAATGGCTTCCATTATCAAACGCGTCATACCCACTTTGGATAGAATTTTGGTGCGACGCGCAGAGGCGGCTAATGTCAGCAAAGGCGGCATTGTGCTCACCGAGAAGGGCATGGAGCGCNTCTCAAACCAATTTCAAAGGTTGTTTACAAATGTACTTCAAATGTGGAAATAAAATGTATAATAGGAAATGTATGTTTCATATTTATTTTTTCTTCCCGATGTACATAACAAAGGAAACAATCAAGATAAAGTAATTTATTCATTGTTTTTTTTTTCAATTGATCTTAATTTTATTCTTACAATTTTTGATTTAAATGCGCATTTTTATAACGTTTGATACTTGACATCTTTCTTCGAATCAACCTCAAATGAATTTCAAATGTAAAATTTAAACCTCGTTTTCAATTTGAGAATCATTTGAGAAAAACATTTGATATCAAATTGAGAAATACNATGCGCATTTTTATAACGTTTGATACTTGACATCTTTCTTCGAATCAACCTCAAATGAATTTCAAATGTAAAATTTAAACCTCGTTTTCAA